TAAGATCTACAACTTTCATTTTGACACCGTCAGCTAATTCTCGACCGATCTTAAATTTAACAGTACAAGGAGATTATACTGTTAAACGTCTGCGTAAAATTAATAACTTCTACATACGGACTCTGTTTTTGTCTGTCTTTTTACCGTTGATTTCCTATTAATGAGATCTTCAACTCTCATTTACGTTGCGTAAGCCAAAAACCGCTCGAACTAAAATTCGAGTTTCAGGCCGTGCACTGCTAAGCCGAATCTTAGAAAAATCATAACTTCTTCATACGAAGTCAGATTTGGGCGTTCTTTTTATCGATGTTCTTAGTTTAACACATTCTACGACTTTTGTTTAGATTGCTAAGGCTAAAAAGTCTTCTATCGTAAATTCACTATTTACGTCTCCCGGTGTCGTGCCGGTTTAGCCGTAAAACTTCGGCGGGCCATAACTTCTTCGTTATAGCTCGGATCTGGGCATTCTTTATATGTACGGAAACCTTGAGACATATTCTACAACTTTATGTAGAGATATCGGGATTATCTCACACTTTAATTTTGACGCTCATTTTTATTCTTTATTAATTATACATTTATAATTAAATAATAAACACATAAACACACATAATTCACATAATACTCAAATATTTCATATTTATTACTTCAAAAAGAGTTACAATAGTTGACCTAGACTATTACATTGGCAAAAATGCTTAGCCCTGAAAACCCGGGCGTTACAGTAAGTGCCTTACGTGCGCCAAAGTAAAGGTGGAGTACCAGAAACCTTCCGGATTGTTACAGCAACCGACAATCCCTGAGTGGAAATGGGAGGGGATTTCTATGGATTTCGTGACCAAGCTGCCCAAGACGTCGGACGGACTGGACACCATATGGGTAATAATCGACCGACTGACGAAATCTGCCCATTTCCTGCCAATCAAAGAATCCTACAAGATGGAGAGACTGACACGTTTGTACCTACGAGAAATCGTAAGACTCCATGGGGTACCAAAATCTATCATCTCAGATAGGGACAGTAGGTTCACATCGCGCTTTTGGCAATCACTCCACAAGGCAATGGGAACTCATCTCGATATGAGCACCGCATATCACCCACAAACGGACAGTCAAAGTGAACGAACCATTCAAACGCTTGAAGACATGCTTCGTGCATGTGTGATAGACTTTGGAAAGTCTTGGGATACCCACCTACCGTTGATCGAGTTCTCATATAACAATAGTTACCATTCGAGCATCAAGGTGGCTCCTTTCGAAGCACTGTACGGGCGTAAATGTAGATCACCGTTATGTTGGGCTGAAGTAGGTGACACCCAGCTAGCAAGAACGCATACGTCGGACAGGGCACTAACGGGACCGGAGATCATTCGCGAAACCACATAAAAGATCGTCCAGATCAGAGCTCGATTACAAGCATTGCGTGACCGACAAAAGAGCTACGCCGACAAACGGCGAAAGCCCTTAGAATTCCAGGTCGGTGATCGAGTACTGTTGAAAGTCTCACCCTGGAAAGGGGTTATACGTTTCGGAAAACGGGGAAAGCTGAACCCGCGATACATTGGACCTTTCGAAATCGTCGCTCGAATAGGTCCGGTAGCATACAGACTACAACTACCCGCGGAGCTAAACGGTGTACACCCCGTGTTTCATGTCTCTAACCTAAAGAAGTGCCTATCAGATGAAACTCTTGTCATTCCTCTTGACGAAATCGAAATCAATGAGAATCTCCTGTTCGTTGAAGAACCAATCGAAATCATGGACAGGGAGATGAAGCGTACTAAGCAGAGTCGCATCCCGATCGTGAAGGTACGGTGGAACGCAAAGCGTGGGCCAGAATTCACGTGGGAACGCGAAGATCAAATGAAGCAAAAGTACCCTCACCTATTCTAGCATTCTCAAATCTAACTTTCAAACAGAATTTCGGGACGAAATTCCCTCTAACGGGGGATGATGTCACAACTGAAAATTTTGTGTCATGTAATCTATACACTCAAGTTAATGTGAGTCAAAAACTTAAGAACATGTGTAACACCTATGATTATAACTTCAAAAACTTCAATCAAATACATCATACAAGTACTACAAATAGTCATCAAACAATTGGAGACCCTAGAAGTCCTTGTTTAATTCCATTTTGGACTAGGACTCCCTTATTGGATCCAAATGGACCAATAAGCTTCCAATTAGACTATCATGGGCTTAGAACCCTAATTGGGCTCTAATTGGACCCACACTAATTTATTTCAACATTTTGGGCCATGTTGGGCCTAGAATGAAATGAATTAAAAGCCTTGATACATGAATAACCTAAACTAGTCCAATAAAAATATAAAAATCCTACCACATTCCTTTAGACTTAAAACATACCCAAGATTAACTCTAATATTGGGCTTAGGGGCAAAGGCCCAAATTTTTCCTTTTCCCTTCCAAATTCTCGGCCCAATGCCCAAGCCCAAGAGGAAATGGAAGAGTTGACTTAATGCATGCCACCTCATTATTAACCAAAGGGTATCTATGCATGGAACTCATACTTCCAAGCACATATCACTTCAAAGATCACTTCTCTTCTCTCCTCTCTCTCACTCTCGGCCACATTCAAACACACACACAAAAAAATTTACTCATTCTTCTCTCAAAGAAACTCTCTCCTTTCCTCTCCATAATTTCGAGATTCTAAGAAGCTTTCAAGAGGATCTTTCAAGCTAATCATCATCTTAGGTAAGTATTTACTTATATACATGATCTAGCTATTTCATTCCATCAAAAATCTCTCCTAAATCTATTCCAACTTGTGATCATGCATCTTAGAAGTCACCAAACTCGAGACCTACCAAGGAAAGGTGCTAAGGCCGAAAATCACTTCATTTTTCCTTCCATTTTCTCTTCAAAACCGAAACCACACTAAGGTGAGCTTCATACCCCCTATTTTCTGTTTTTATGAGTTGTGTGGGGGGGAATACAAGTGAAAGTGTAGATCTATATGTGTTTTGTATGCCTTGTATGATTTCCATGCTTATATGTGTGCTTTTGTGTGTTATAATGTTGGATCTAGCCATAAAACCCCTCAAAACCGAGATATACCTTATGTTAAATGATTTTAGCATCAAATATATTTCTACATACAAAGTGTTTCTAGAAAAATAGCTAAATGGCTTAGTAACAATTTCTTTGGGCTAAAAACACAATTTTTGGACCTAAAATGTGAAAAATACAAAAATTAAGGGCCCAAATTGACATATCACGAATTCTGATGGATGAGGTGTGTCAAAACAGTTTCAATAAAACAATTTCTGGAAATATACTCATTTAGAGGATTAAAAACATAAATTTCAAGCTTAATGGGCTAAAAATGACATTTTCGGCCCAATGAGGCCCATTATGCGAGATTTTCTGTTTTGGAGGGCCAAAACTGTGTTTTTCTGTAAAACAGTGGACTATAAGTGTTCCAAGTCCTTTTCAAAGGTTTAAAATGTTTTTTTTAAATTTAAAAAGGACCAAAGTTGCAAAAATTTTACAATTTGGGCCAAAATTGTCAAAATTGCGAAAAAGAAGGGTTATAACCGAGAAAACTGAAATTTCAGGGACTTAAACTGTTTTCATTGAAAAATATGCTGAAAAATATCAATTTCAATAATTTTTGGTGTTAAAATGTCAAGAAAAATGATTTAAGGACCAAACCGGAAAATTATTTAATTAAGGGGTTGAAAAAGTAAATTTTACAAACAATGAGGGGCTGAAAACAGAAAACTTCCAAGGCTTATTCAATACATGCAATTTGATCAAATAATGGCACCGCGACTATCGACGAAATACAATACACTACAATACCAAAAGTCGTTGTTAAACGAATTGGTTCGGTCTCGAACAAATAAAATCCGAAACTACTAACACGACGACACTACGACACTACGATTCATACAAGTAACGTTTGGGAATTCAATATACATGCGAGTGTGCACAGACGTCTACGCACCATCTTTGGGCCCCAAAAGTGTAAAATCTTGTTTGTTGGGCCTAGCTAGCCCAATGACCTGATCTTAAGGCCCGAAGACCTCTATCTTACGAAGTGTTGGGTTTTACCGACCTGACACAACGTAAAAGGACTTTCAATGGCTTGTATACTACTGGTCCCCAAGGGTCCTTTGGTATTGCTAGTAAAGTCTACATTTCATGCGAGGCGGGTCTGGGACCCCTCGTACATTTTTATCCCCAACCGGTTAATGGAGTCATCGAGGTCTTCGTGTCCTCTTTCTCTTCGGATGTGGGACTACACATAGTCAGGGCGATTGGATAACGTGATTAATACGGACGACGCCTACGGGATCGTTAGTATAGCTATAAACTGGTCGTTTGTGTAATGCGTGTTTGTAGCAAATAATCATGCTCAAAAATAATCCAACGTCGCCTGGGACTGACACTACGCGCTATGCAATGGTTTCAATGTGACTTCATGGAATTCAAGGAATTAGGAAAACATCGGGTTTTCCTAGGGTTTTCAATACATACAGATTTGAAATGCATACAACTTCAATGAACAATTTTTACAAGTATAGAAACAAACAAGCATACCTATGGATCTTCACAAACGTTTTCAAAAGCTTTTCTTTTCAGAAAATATCGGATTTTCTGGTGATTTTCAAATGATACGAAACATTGTTTTTCTTCAAATACCGCTTATGAACTCACCAACATTTCATATGTTGACGTTTTTCAAAATACTTGTATTCTTAGGTAACCAGTGAATTTAAGGAAATCGTACTCAGTGATGGCTTGCAGTTTATTTATTAACGAATTGAACAATTTATTTTTGGGAATGAAATGTTTAAACAATGTACTTCATGTAAACTTTACTGGTTGTACTATATTAATGCATGGTGACGAATGTTGTTACGTTTCATATATATTCAATGTTATGGTATTCAATTGAGTCACAACAGCCCCCGAACGTTTCCGCCGCCTGGTTCGGGGGTGTGACAGATCGAGATAGCAATCTGCTAATGCAACGAAACACTCAAGAAGGCACAGTTGTACAGTGGCTACAGGCTCTTGATATGCAAGTATTGGGAGCGTGTCGCGCCGATGAGAAGTTGAAGCCCATGCTCAAGCTTAATGTATCCAACGCGGCTGAAGACCGATTGCTATCGCATCTAAGTCGGGTATACTTTATGGTTCCTTCTAGAATCACCTCAATATTATTAAGCTCCCATTGAGTGTTGAACAATTAAAGTGAATGTTCGTGATGATGTATTGTTGCAGTTGAATCGTGTGATGTATTGATGTTTATTCTTCAAATTGGTTTTCATGACAGCATTTTGAGCCATCGGAAGTTGGTTTGCTCGCAAGTTGCTTATGTATCCCTCTTGTATGAATTCGTGTTGGGAAGATCAACAAACAAGGAACTCGTCTTATTCCAAAAAGTGCAAGGTAGTTATTTCTTGTTTTATCCGTTAGAATCTGCAATGTGTTCTGTTGTCATTATTTTTAGTTCTGGCACATCAACAAGTGCAAGGTAGTTGTTTCACATTCATATTAAGATTTACTTCTGGCACATCAACAAATTGCCAATATATGCATAAGTGTTCATTAATAGCTTATTTAATATGATTACCGAATCTTGTCTTTGGATATATTTTCTTCTGAACGACTGAATGTAGCAGCTATTTTATCTTATATGAGTGTTGGTTTGGATTTCAACTTCACATAATACTTGGTATCAAGATTTTAGCTGCAAGTGGTTTTCTTTTTAATATGAAGGATAAATCCGGCTAATGTGATGGATAATAATCAAATTCATGGATAATGTATGGAAACATTGTTACTTTGGTGGATCTTGGGGTCATTTTGTAGATGTAAATGATTTGGTAGTAGCTTTTGAGTGCTACTTAATGGTGGTGTGTATATATATATATATATATATATATATATATGATAATACATTTACATTTGTTTGTTTATAGGACATGTCTGTTACTGTTATACTGTAATGGCAATCTATATGCACATGTGATGATCCCTTCCTTTTAAGGGATCAACATAATCTCACTTATTGAGTAGAAATTATTGGCTCCTGTATATTAGCTTTATAATGGTGACATGTACATGCTTCAAAATGAATATATCTTTTCATTGTAGGTAAACTGGCGTTTTCTATTATGATCTCTGAATTAAGAAGAAGTAAAGGTAGATTCATGCTCTCATATATATAATGTGGGTTCTTCTACTATTGGTTTTGCAACAACCCTTATTATCATCCAATTATTTGGACATATTTGATGTCTGTATCATATATGTTTTTGTTTACATTCTATACTCCATTATCACACATAGCCACATGTTTTGAAGAGTCCTTGCTTATTGATGTGTCATTACCTGTCTCAAGTAGTTTAATGATGTCTTAGTTTTTTTTCTGTTGGAAGTAATGAAAAAAATTATGAGACTAGTTTCTCTGATTTGACTTGAGTCCTAATATTTATTGATAAGCATACACAACTAGCTATTCAGTAACAATGTGTGTGTTATGTTTAATTTGGTATTTAAGTAGGGGGTTGAAGGCGTACCTAATTAAACTGAAGTTTAATTTAAAGGGCAAGAATGAGAGTGAGAGTGAGAGCAAGTTGTTGAGATTCATATTGTTATTTGAGTTGGGTGTTTAGGTGATATACCTAGTTTAATTTATACATTGTTGTTAATACATTGATAGCTATTATTTTAAAGTTGGAGAAAACATTTATTATTAGGTTCTTGTGAATCAATAACATACGTGCTACTGCTACTGCTACCCTCCTCCGCCACAAGAAAAGTGTAAATTAAAGAAATTATAAAGTAAGTGGAAGGAAAAGTAGATAAGAACATGTGTATATTTGTTTTATAGAAGAAATATAGAATATAACGGTTTTTACATATAAAAAAATGATGTTTAAAGTTGTGAAAGTTAATAGTATGTATATGGTTGTATGTGTGTTAGAATATATGTTTATTATGTTGGGTGGTTTGCAACAGGGGAAACTTAATTCTGTCATTATTACCAGCTTTTGATCTACGCATATCGTTTGTTGGGGATGATGGGCATGCAGATAGAATATCAATCTTGAGAAACACAACAGATTGTTCCTCTGTTGTGATTGAAGGAATCCCAGCAGATACCTCTGGTCGATCTTTTGTTGTTAGGGTCCCCACGCCTTTCTACTTTTGGTGCTCTGAAAAATCCAAACTCCTCGGCGATGAATTGCTTGAAAAGGTAACCCAACAAATCTTAGTAAGAAACCAACTGATGTCTGAATCTGATGATATGCGTATACATATATCTTGTTGTTATAGATGAGGGAGTTACTGGAGAGGAAGCCTTCCCTTGCGGAACTAACCGGAATCAGTAATTCCCGTCTTCAACACTTTGTACATCATCTACGAACTTTTACTTTTCTCGTTGGCTCAGTTAGTGAAACGTCAAACTCAAAGTCTCCTCCATTGTTGGCATCATCAAAGGCTTCACGGGTCCGGACCTGCAGTAGCATTATTCAAGGCAGCCTAAGTCCTAGGCCAAGCTCCTTCAAAGAAGGTGGCCTCCCCAGAAACATAGCTTCCTCGAGAAATGTAGTCAGAGACAAGTTAAGACGTAGGCTGGAAGGGGTCCGCCTTGAAACATCCTCCGAAAAACATCCTTTTCCTTCCACTTCAAATCAGCATGAAGAAAACAGGGTTCCAGAATTATCATCATCATCATCTGGAATTTGCTTGTTCCCATCAGTATTAAGTGGGAACATGAATATGCAAATTCCATCTATAATCTCAGCAACACATAATACGAATACTAATACTACATCATCATCATCTATCTTCTCTCCTCCTCCATATTACTGCTGGTGTCCACCTGTGGTTATGGTAACACCCCAACATCCACATACAACATCAATTGAATCTTTTACATTGCCACCCCTTTCATCACTCCTTGCAACAGCCTCATCATCTGCGAAAACATGTTCTGAAATCTCAATCCCACTCCCACCTTTTCTACCATTATCAATGGGCATGCCACCTTCACAACAGATCCCGCTCTTGGCACCTCTCATATGCGAGTGCGACCACCCAATAGTTCACATCCCGATCCCAGTAGTGGACATCTGCTCCTCGGGTCAAGCCTACATAGTCAGTACTGGCCCTGCTATTATGAGCGTAGTAAGCATTCCACCAGCATTAAGTGCCCAAGAATCCGATTAAGAAAAGAGTGCTAGGGACACGCTACACCTCCTCCTGAGTGGATCTACCCAATTCCCCTCTGGTGTTGGAGGTGGAAGTTTCTATGGAGCAACCACAACCACAGATGTAAATGTGAATGCTATTGCAAACAGTATTACTGCAATGAATTTGGTTTCTCCCCATGGTGTTATGAGGAGGTGCATTGACCAAGGTGATTTGGTTGACCTCCTCAAGGATCCGGTCGACACTACTACTACTACATGTTCTTCGAATGAAGATGGTTTGAGTGAAAAAGGGAGTACAAAGTAAGTTCCGGAGTTGGATGTTGTAGGCAGACATCATGTGATTCTGGCTGTAGTTTTTTTTGGTGAAAAATGATGTGTAAATAAAATTAGACCAATAAACATTATCAGTCGGCCTTTACCTTTACCTTTGCATTTCTAACTTGACCTTCATAACGAGGTTATAACCTAAGCAAACATTATAATCTCATCTTGTATAATTATCAACTAACACCAACTACGGAAACTAGAATAAATCAAACATTATAATCTCATCTTGTATAATTATCAACTAACACCAACTACGGAAACTAGAATAAATCAAATCCTCAATCAAAAACAAATTTCACTTATTTCAACTTGATTGTTTTTATATATATCAACAACAAAAAAAGTTAACTTTTTAATCCTATGGTTATTTTGAGTTAATACTAAAGGAAATATCCTAATTTTATATTATAGGCCGGTCTAAGAAAAAATTTCAAATTAATTTTTATTTATAGAAAAACACAAAATATCGGTGAAAACTTAAGAAAAGCTTTTGTTAAAAAAAAATGAATGTTATTTTATAACTTGAAGACTAAACAAAATTAGGTACACCACAATTGGTTAATGTACTTTTACACATCTTTTACATATGAATGAATAACACAGTGTTTTAGCTAAGATTTGAAGCAAGTGTTTTCCAAAAAGGGTCGAATGTGGTACCGTTTGATAGCCAAACGTCATACCCGATTTTGATGAACATAATTTTATTTGCATTTGAGAGATATATTCTGCCCGCAAAAAAATTTCCCGTTGGTGATCAACTTTTTTTTTATCAAACAATCATTTAATTAAAACACCTACGTAACGTAACATAACAATAACGGAAAGGTCCAAAAAAAATTATAGAATAACACAACATAGTTACAACACGAAAAAAACAATACAATTATAAAACACAAATATTTATTGCATGAACAAACAAACACAAATGTGGTCCTAACTAAGTGGTGGGGGCAGGGGGCAAGGTCCCCGTCACTCGACTGTACTACCACTTGACAAAACTCCTAAAGATCATACAAATTATGAGCTAGAGGCCTAAAGGTATGTGAATCTATGCCAACTCTTATTCCATAGGATCCTTAAAACAAATTAACACTATTCGTTTTAATGTAGTTATTGGTGAGTGATGAACAATACATTGTGCTATATAATAGTATAATACATGTGTTTGATTTTACTACCAGAAAAAGGCTAAAAAGAATAAATTGGATGCAAACGAAAATGATTCTTCACCCATTTATTATTGAACCATGGACTTATAATAAAATAAGTGTAAAAACCAAAAGCAATGCTGAAACATCTTACTTAAAGCTAGTGGGTAAGTCTAACCTAGCGTTATCAAGAGTTGTGACGAATATATACTTCTTATCCAAAGGTTGATGGTTTAAGTCTCGTATAAGACGAAATATGTAGATTTAAGAGTAAGGTTAGTGACAGTTGTGTAAAAGGTTTAAAAAAACCTCTAAAATTAACCAAGTTAAGATATCTCCAACCTTATTCAAAATTTTAATACCGAAAACAGTGGCATGCTCATGTGGTGCTTGAAGGGCCTGGGCCACTACTCCGATTCACGCCTTTAGCGTAATTTTATTTTTCTGTTTTTCTATTAGGTGCAACGGCTTGAAATATAAGTAACACTATTATTTTAGATTTGTTCGGAATTTTTTTGGTGCCACCACTATTCAAACTTCCTGCGTCCGTCACTGGTGGAAAATGAAGTAAAAAAATATGTTAGTAATGATTCACTCCAACAAAGGGAGTTGATAGTGACGACAAAAAGGATCAAACATAATGGATTTTGAAACCATAATGGCTAATGGCCAATAGTTCAATTTTTAAAAATTTGGATCAAAAGTACAGATTGGTGCCAATCACAAAGACCAAAAACTACGATTTATGAGTTGCTTGATAGTTGTTGAAAGTTGGCATTTGGCAGGGCCGATCCTCAGGAATTAAAGGGCCGATCCTCAGGAATTAAAGGATCCTTTCCTTATTATAAGTTTATATATATATATAGGGCTGTAAACGAACTAAACGTTCGGCGAACTGTTCGGTGGGAAGTTCGTTTATGTTCGTTTATTTAATAAATGAACGAACATGAACAAAAATTATCGTTCATTTAGTTAATTGAACGAACATGAACAATGGTCTCGTTTGTTCATTTATGTTCGTGAACGTTCGTTTATGATGTTCATTTACGTTCGTTTATGTTTCTTCGTTTAAGTTTATTTATATTCATCTATATTCAATTATTTTTTATTATATTGTTATATTATATGTTCGTTTATTTTCATATATGTTTAATTGTGTTTTTTTTATCTTTGTTCGTTTAGCATGTTCACGAACATAAATTAACGAACATTAACAAAGTAATTAGTTAAACGAACGAACATGAACAAGAAAATCTCGTTCGTTTATCCGTTCGTGTTCGTTTGTTGTTCGGCTAACTTAAACGAACGAACATGAACAAGACCTTGTTCGTGTTCGTTTGGTTCGTTTACAGCCCTATATATATATATATATATATATATATATATATATATATATATATATATATATATATATATATATTAGTCTTACAGAGTTGTCCACTTTGGTCCCCTAAAAAAAATGGTGTTTGTGAGGTTTGTGGGAAGTGGTAATGGTGGTATGTTTGTATTGGGTGACGGTATATGAGAACAATTTGCATCAATGACTAGACAGTAAACAATTTTACTATTAAGGGAAGAGGGTATATATGCATTTGATGATAGATCGATGTAGTATTGATATCCATGTACCATCTAATATCCTTTAGATCATTGAGTAATGGTCCTATACATCCATATTTTGACCATTGAATCTAATGTATACCATGACGAATCATCGGTGGCTGGTTGAGGAAGAAAATATGTCAAGATTATCAAGAACACCATAACCAGTACAATAAGTCTCAAATAACTCACACTGACACGTCATACTTTAATTCATTTAGGTCTAAGATAAGGGATACATATGATTTAATGTTGGTGATACCATATGGTTTTTGGTTTGTGTTGGGATCTGTGTTGTAAGCCATGGTTGGATGGAGAGAAAGGTAGAGACTAAGAAAGTAGTCGAGAGGATGTAGAAGTCGTTCCTATGGATGCAATCAATGGTGGTGAGATTTAGAAGGAAAGAGGGTTGCAAAGTGTAGGTTACCTAGGATAAAGAGAGAATATTTTTCAAATCTTTGATACCATGTTTGACCCAATATTCTCCCATATAAATTTATTGATCTCCAATTAGTATATACATGATACAATTCTCTTAGAAGCTGTACAATACATAGGCTAAAAGAGTGGGATAAATACAACATAAGTACAATACAACCACGTATACTAATACTATAGTCCTTTATCATCGCCTTCATATAATTTATAATCCATGTATTGAAATTTATGTAATATACATATAGACTTATAAAGAATGATCTTGATATTTCTACGATTCACCATATTCTTGTTGCCACCACCAGGTTCATGAAACATTAAGGGTCGAACTTCCTCCATGGCGATGCCTTCTCCTTTTTAGATTGTAGGAAAAATAATACAAATGAAAGATTTAATCAAACTACATTTAATATATGGGTTTCTTTCGAAAAAAATCCACCATAGCTTAAAACACATACATAAATAACTTCATGATGTAAATTAAACTCTAATCGCTATCAAACTCCTAACCATTAACTTTGACAAAAGCTTCATCACGAAAGGTTTAGAGAAGGTAGAAAATATATTGATATACACAACGAGGCCTAAAGAAGGATTATATATGCATAAAAGATCTTGGATTTAGGGATATAGTTAGGAAAATAGGTGTTGCAAAGGTTGGTAGATCAATCTCAACATGGCATTCAACCACTTAAGATGTACATGGTTATATGGAATTATTTACATAATGAAGTGACATAAACCCTATTAGATTTTTTTTAAACAACAAATCTAAGCTCCTAAATTACACCTTAAATTCACTTACGTCCACAACGAGACTTGAACCTTCAACCTAAAAGAGGGAGTGCAACACCGGATATCACTGGGCTAGAAGTCATTTGGTATAAACCCTATTACATAACGTGAATAAATTTGAATGTAAGTTGTTAATCATGAATTAAAATTTACATTGTTATGATTGAGAATTTATATATAACTTGCTATATTGAATGCAACTATGGTTTCCCACCTATGTCTATCTTGGAAGATGGACTTTCAGAATCAGGAAGGGAAAGAGTAATTGTATGTAATGGGAATTTTTATTATTTTATTTTAAAGTCAAACTCCATGAAAGTTTAAATTATTTATAATATCACAAAAGACATTATATTTTAGCTTTCTTTTTTTCATGTTTGATATCCAAAATGTGATATCATACAATTGTCATATGAAACGTTATCAATAAATGACATATTAGTTGTCCATGGACATCTGTGTTATTCGAAAAAGAATACACTTCATGATATTTAAATTAAAAAAATGAAATATTAAACTAAAAAATAATAATAATAATACTTAACGTCTTTTTGTGACATTTATCTATCTATTTATTAAAATATTTTATTATGGTTAAGAATCTAAGAGACACCTTAATTGTAGTTATAAGTAATTAATACTTCTATATCAAGACCAAAGTTTCTAATTTCAACATAATTATTGAAGGCCAAAAAATAAATAAATT